GGGAAGAGAGAGATGGTCCCCGATATAGAAAAAAAAAACTGCTTTGAAAGAAATTTGAACGTTTTTACTTTTTAAGAAATTTGAAAACTTAAAAAAAAAAAACTTTTCTTTGATGAGCTCATAGTCTGAGCCGTGTCTGGACTTCTGGGGCAATTGTGTGATCAGTGTGGCCAGAAGGTCGGAAAAGATCAGACAGGGTCATGCCTCCCAACCCAGCTGCGCCCTTAGAAATTCCTTGGGAAGGCTGAGGGTCAGCCTTAGAATATTCCCATGTCTCTTCATTAGTGCGTATGACTTCCCACTTCTGGCCTCTTAGTTACACCTCTGGCCCTGAAGTCCGGTGAGGTCTGTCCCAGCATGTTTTCCTTCAAGGGCTTGGGAGCATGGAGTTTGGCTCAGTTCCCCGACTTATGATCAGGGCCTTTCTCAGGACTCCGTGCAGGAAGGATCCTCTTAGCTCCAGGGTTAAGTCAGACAACATGTAGGGGTCAGGTTTCATTGCGTGTTTGAAAACACTTCCTGAACACGATCATCTGAAGCTATGGATCCTTAAGAAAATCGACAGCAAGAGCAGGTTCAACAGGAAGTATTGGATGCTAAAACCTTGTGGTTTAAGTACATGATTGATGGGTTGCATGAACTTGGTCAACATGGCCAATACAGACACACACACTGGCATAGTACACAAACCCATGTTATTATCACTAGAGGAGCAAATAGTCCACACCTCTAGAACTTTGCTGTGACCTTTTATGAGTGTGTGCACGTGTGTGTGTTCAAGTGTATTTAACACAAACTCTATCTTTTTAATCACTCAACGATACGGTTTTTGTTATAGGTGCTATGCTACACAGTAGATCTCTGCCATACTCATTTTGACTAAACGGAGCTTTGTATATGCAGGATATGAATGGACCTTGACTTATGATGGGGTTGTACTACTGTAAGTTGAAAATCCAAGTAAAAAATTATTTCACACACTTAGCCGACTTCGTGGCTTTTGGATTTTTAAGGGGACATTCTGATCAGACGATGCTTGAGTCCAGGAGATCCTGGGAGGTGATGTGGGAGACGGCTACTAAGTGGAAAGCAAATTATATCATGTCCATTTCAACATGGTGTTTGCAATATCGCACGGAAGGTCCTCTTGGGGTAGCAGTGTCGTCAAGGTTTTCTCCTTATTGTTATTGGGTCAGTATTTTGAAATGTCACTGTCTGAAACATTCTGCTGGCTTGTTGAAGGGTGTCTGTGGAGTTCCCCATACAACGCTACTGTGGAGATTAGGATTTGGCTGGTCCACGACACAGACATGCACAGGGCAGGTGGTCAGATGACCCCCTGAAGGAATGACTCCTTCAGACCAGGTTATGAAATGTCTATGAACATGTCATCCAATGGCTAAGAGCATAACATGCACGCACTGAAGAGTGACCACTAGCCACATGTGATCAGATGAGACCTTCCACCTGCATGTCTGTCTACCAGGTGGTATTCACTTGGGCATCAGGTAACTTCCCAATGCAGCCCCACAGGAGACTTTCTAGACCAACCTCAGAAGTGCCAAAACAAAAGAAAACAAAAACTTGTTACCCAAGGTTTCTGTCCCCCCTAGTCCTGCATACAAGAGGTCTACATTAATTATAAATTAGTCAGCCTATTAGCTCAGGTTTCTTATTAATTAATTCTTACATCTTACATTAACTCATTATTCTTGTCTGTGTTAGCCATGTGGCTTGCTACCTTTGTTAGTAAGGGATTCTCATCTTGCTGCCTCTGTAGCTGGGTGATGACTGCAAACTGAATCTTTCCTCTTCCCAAAATTCTCCTGTTCTCATTGCCCTGCCTCTACTTCCTGCCTGGTTGCCCCACCTATACATCCTGTCTGGCTACTGACCAATCAGCATTTTATTAAAATACAAGTGACAGGGTACAGACCGTTGTCCCACAGCAAAAACTGGAACCATAAATGCCATGTTATGGCTGTCCCTTCACTCAAAACCCACATGCTCTGCAATGGCAGCCTTGATCTCAAACAGGACCCTTTTCTCACGGCCCCCAGAGACACCAACATCCAATGGCCATAATGCAGCACTGAGAAGCAAGGTCCCAATATGCTGTGGCCCTCTCTGTTTTTCTGGACTTTCTGTCATCAGCCAGTTGAAGAGAATCTGAGCAGTAGCATGTAAGCGTGTAAGTGTGTAGATGCATTTGTACACACACATAAATGTGGGTACCACAGCACCTAGTCATGCATTGCTGTCCCTTGTAGTCTCCAGCCTATGCAGATTCCATTATGCTGTATAAGAAATCCATGAACATACAAACATGTACTATATACACCGTAGTATATAGCAATATTACAGATTCTAAATGTAGATATATGTATTCTACATACAAACTACATGCACACATGCACTTACATATTAATCATTGCAGCATCTATAGTATGCTGAGTGTATAGAGTTATTAAAAATATATGTGTATACATTTTTTCATACAAACTTCAGACCTACTACTACCTATTGCCCTATAGCTACCCACTTTCAGATAATGTGTATATTTATATATTCCCAGCCTTGGAGAGGCTGAACCACTATGCTGCTCCCAGTGTAAATAATGCATTGGAGTAAAATATGGACTGTCAAACTCAGGCAACAATTAATTATACAGAGCATAAATCCTTCTTTCCAAATGACTAATGCCTAGTCCTTGGTGCATAAATGTTTCTCTGGATTCTATTTGAACTACTAGCCTCATAACATCAGATGGCGCAGTCAGAATAATTTTCATTAGAAAAATAATTATAGGTTAAATATGGTTAATAAAACATTAACTATAAATTTGAATATTTTAAAAGCATGTCCACCTAGAAGCAGGTTCTAATGAATTTTGATGAAAATACCATGATTACTTAAGAAAAAATAAATAGACCTGGTTATTACACACAATTGTGAGATGGATAAATTACAGAAAACAATTTTAACTTGGAAATAATTATTCTAGGCAATCAGCTTGGCAAAACTAATGATAATAAGGAGAAACCCGGGAAGGGCGCACACCTTCACGGATGATGGAACACTTGCTCTCGTTTTGATCCCATTCTAGATTCATGAATTTGTAGTTATTAGTAAATCGTAAATCCTTTGAGATTGAAAGTTCAAAATCATTTTAAAATACACACTTTTGTTGAAAGGTTCAGCCTTGATGTGAGGCTCCTGCTGACTCTGAAGAATGCATCGGTGCGCAGGGATTCAAGGCCAAGCCCAAGGTGGGCTATGCAGGGTAGCAAGCTTGTCTTTGGTCACCCATGCGCTCTCCCGGATGTCCGCGCTTTACCTTCGGGACCTCTCCAGTTTCTCCTCTCCCCCTTTCACTTTTTTTGCCTTTCACGAAGACTAAACTCGGACCCTCAGGACTACTGTTGACTTCCATGGTTTTGGAGTCTCTGTGGCGGCAGCTAGCTTGCTGGGTGCACGAACCTTGGCTGCTTCCCGAGAGATCCTCCTTAGGGGGTACATCTTTCTCCTGCTTACTCCCCTGTCAGTTACAAAGCCAATGTGAGGGCATCAGCATCCACAGGGGTTGCTGCAGAGAGGAGCACTACAGTGTGGCAAGAGAGGTGCCCCATGTGTGTGGTAAGCAGAGGTGTCCTGGGGGGACAGCAGAGAAGAATCCCTGTAGTGGGCAATAGAGAAGTACCTTCATATTTGCCTGGTTTTTCCACTATCCCTCCGAGTTCTTGCCTGTGCTTAAAGCAAAGGAGACTAAAGGTCTGAGAAACACAGACCTTTTTTATATGACGGCCCATAAATGTCCTTCTCCAAACTCTGCTCATACGCTTTCTATCTGTATCACATCCTCTCTTCACACTCCAGTGGGAAGACTTTCCTCACCATGACCCTTTGACCTGTGCTATAGGGATCATTCTCCACACGTGGCCTCTTACTATCCTTCCAGGCAATTTGAAAGGAACAGCTATTTTTTTTTTGCTTCATTTTTAATTTGGCCTCTCAAGATATGCTTGCTGGTCCAATGGAGGCACAAACATTACGTAGCAACCAACCACTTTCTGATTGGATTTAGAGCCCACTCTTCAAGAAGAAGTTCATGCCTGGTACTTCTAACTACCTTTATTTTTATTCTGTTTACTTTTTTTCTTTTATGAATAGCCATGGGTATCCAAAGGTTATCTTGTTGGCTTTCACCAATAGGTCAAAGGCGAAGCTCTCCTCCATGGAAGGGTCCTGTGTTTGCACATCCAGCTATGTTTATGGGTATCACAGTGCACCAGAGTGCCCCATGCTCAGGGAGATGGTGTTCACGCTGAGGTGAATGGACACTGTGCCTTGAGAGGTAGCTTCTGTTCTAATCGTTGGGTGTGTACGTGTGTGTGGTACATGTGATGTGTGTGTGCATGTCTATGTGGTATGTTTGTGTGGTGTGTACACTTGTGTGTGTGTGTGTGTGTGTGGTGCATGTGTGTGTGTGCATATCATCACCCACGTGCAAGCATGCAGATGCCAGAGGACATCAAGTGTCCAGCTCGATCACTCCTGTTCAATCCCTTGAGACAGGGTCTCTCACTGAACCTGGAGCTCACCAGTGTTAGCTAAACTGCCCAGCATACAGGTAGGTGCCCAGGTCACAGCTGACACTCTTCCATGGGTGATGGCATCAGAACTCAGCCCTCAAGCTTCTGCAGCAGTACTTGTGGAGCCAGATGTCCAGTCCAGCAATGGGCTCTCTGACTCCCATAACTGCAGGCTGTCCTGACCTCTACAGAGTCCAACAGATTGTAACATCCTCAGGGTCACGACGATGCCATCAATCATGGCAGTCTTAGCTAGAGCATGCCACCGAGACCACTACCTGAGCTGTCTGGTGCTAAAGCCTCCATCTGACCTCTGACCCTGGTCTCTTGCCCTGCCTACCCTCCACCAAACCCAGGCTCTCTGACTAGAAGGTCACAGTACAGAAGAGTCAAAGTCATGTGACCTACGTTTCTCCGTTTTCCAGGCATCACAGTTCACAGATGAATAAACCCTCTAGCAAAATACATTGGAGGTTTGAATTTCCTTGCCTACAGACTGAAAAATACATTCATGATGTCATAATAGTCTGAACACAGCGTTCTGTACTCCTCTGTGAGTGCCATGGACTGCGGGCATGAACAATTGATTATACTCACAGTAGAAGGCTCCCACCCCACCAGATACCTCCAGCTAGACTTCACAGGAAAGACTGTCATTGTCTGACGCTGACCACAAGGTGCCCACTAAGTAGGAAGCAATGGGCTGGCAGAGATGTATCCGGCAATGGGACCTAGGGTCTGGGCTGCACGAGATCCCTTTCAGAGATTCTGTTCAGGAATGCTGAGCTCAGGATTAGCAAATCCCGGTCAAAAGACTTTAATTGATGGATTTACGAATGCCTGTTTTCTATGGATATGCCTTTCCCACTTTCCTGGGAATGAGAGAAGCAAAGTTAGTGGCTAAAGCTCTTAGTTACACAAGATCAGCCTAAGGAAGGATGCAGGTGGCCATGAAGAGGTCAAGGAACGTTGGGTGGGCTTAGGGTGGGCTCACAGGTACCCAGCGAGCTCTGTGCTCATCTCTCCCACAATTTCCCGAGCAGAGTCCGCAAACAGCCCCTGCCCAATCAACGTCTGCTGAAGTCAATGAAATAAATCAGTGGAAACTTGGGAGTGGAGGCCACACCTCTAGAGCAGGAGACCTGAATGCAGATCTTCCATCTCCCGGCACCTCTCACCACCAGCTGCTGAAACCCCAACAAGCCCAGCATCCCAGTGAAAGTGGGTGGGGGTAGGCTGAGGTGGCAGCGAGAGGGCAAGCTGAGAAATCTAGTTTAGGGATGGAAGACCACAGTCAGGGCAGGAAGGCAAACATGAGCAGATTCCATAGAGTATGGTGGGTATGTGAGGGTGTGGGTGGACAGGGGAGGGTGTGGGTGAACAGGGGAGGGTGTGGGTGGGTAGGGGAGGGTGTGGGTGGGCAGGGAAGGGTGTGGGTGGGTAGGAGAGGGTGTTGGTGGGCAGGAGATGGTGTGGATGGACAGGGGTGGGTGTGGGTGAACAGATGAGGAAAAGGGAGATCAGGTAAAGGTGGGTATGTGGGCTATGGGTAGTCAGGTGATGGTGTGGGTGGCCAGGTAAGGGTATAGCTGGGAAGATGAGGGTGTCGGGCAAGAGAGGGTGTAGGTGGGCAGGCGAGAGCATGGAAGGACAGGAAAGGGTGTAAGTAGATGGGTGACCATGTGGGTGTGCAGGTATTGGTGTGAGTGGGCAGGTTTAATGGGCCAGTTGGGTGTGGGTTATTAGTTGAGGTTTTGTGTGTATAGGCAAGGGTGTGAATAAACACATTCTCATGGCCTTGGACTACTTTAGGAGTTCTCAACCTATTGGTTCTGACCCCTTTTGGGGGGAGTCTTACATCAATCATTTGTATCACAATTCATAACAGTAACAAAATTACAATTACAAAGTAGCAAATAAATAATGTTATGGTTAGCTAAAGAAAGATATTCCTATAAAGATACAAGAAGAACACCAAATAGACTGGATCAAAACAAAAGAGTCCCCTTGCCACATAATAATCAAAAACTAAACATACAGAATAAAAAAAAAAGAATATTAAGAGCTGTAATGGAAAAAGGCCAAGTAACATATGGAGGCAGACCTATCAGAATTACGCCTGACTTCTCAATGGAGACAATGAAAGCCAGAAGGTCATGGTCAAGTGTTATTCAGACATTAAGAAACCACAGATGTCAGCCCAGACTACTATACCGAACAAAACTTTCAATTACCATAGAAGGACAAAACAAGATATTCCATGACAAAACCAGATATAACCAATACCTAGCCACAAAGCCAGCCCTACACAAAGTACTAGAAGGAAAACTTTAACCCAGGGAAGTTGGCTACAACAACAAAAACACAGACAATTGATGATATCTCAGCAACAAATCCCAAAGAAAGGGAAAACACACAAATTAACATCAACAACAACAAAAACTAATTAACAGGGATAACAATCACTGATCATTAATATCCCTTAATATAAATAGACTCAACTCACCTATAAAAAGACACAGGATAACAGATTGGATACAAAAACAGAATCCATCCTTTTGCTGCATACAAGAAACACACCTCAACCTCAAAGACACACATCACCTCAGAGTAAAGGGTTGGGACATTTTTTCCAATCAAATGAATCTAAGAAACAAGCTGGTGTAGCTATACTAATAACTAACAAAATAGACTTCAAACTAAAATCAATCAAAAGACACAAAGAAGGACATTTCATATTAGTCACAGGAAAAATTCATCAAGAGGAAAGCTCAATACTAAACATCTATGGCCCAAATACAAGAGCACCTTCATATGTAAAAGGAACACTTCTAAAGCTTAAATAATACATTAAATCCCACACACTAATAGTACGAGACTTCAACACTCCTCTCTCACCACTGGACAGGACAGTCAGACAAAAAAAATTAACAGAGAAATAAAGGAACTAACAGACGTTATGTCTCAAATGAACTTAACAGACATTTACAGAATATTCCATACAAACATAAAAGAATATACTTTTTTCTCAACACCTCATGGAACCTCCTCAAAAACTGGCCACATACTCGATAACAAAATAAACCTCAACAGATAAAAAAAAAATGGAATAACCCCATGTATCTTACCAGATAACCATGGCTTAAAACTAGAATTCAACAGCAACACTAATTCCAAAAAGCCCACAAACACATGGAAATTAAACAATGCTCACCTGAAGCACAAATGGGTCAAGGAAGAAATGAAGGGAGAAATTAAAGACTTCCTAAAATTCAATGAAAATGACCACACAACATACCCAAATTTATGGGACACAATGAAAGCAGTGTTAAGAGGAAAGTTCATAGCACTAAATGCCTACATAAAGAAGCTCAAAAAATCCCCCACTAGTGAATTAACAGAATATTTGAAAACTTTATAATAAAAAGATGTAACAAAAAGAAGCAAACTCACCTAAGAGAAATAAATGGCAGGAAATAATCAAATTGAGGCTGAAATCAACAAAATAGAAACAGAGAAAACAATACAAAGAATCAATGAGACAAAGAATTGGTTCTTTGAGAAAATCAACAAAGGAGACAAACCCTTATGCAAACTAACGAAAAAGTAGAGAGAGACTGTCTAAATTAACAAAATCAGAAATGAAAGGGGGGACAAAACAACAGATATCGAGAAAATCCAGGGAATCATCAGGAAAGTTTTTGAAAACCTGTACTCCACAAAATTGGAAAACTTAAAGGAAATGGACAACTTTCTGGATAAATATCACTTACCAAAACTAAATCAACACCAGATTAGTAAATTAAATAGACCTGTAACTAATAAGGAAATAGAAACAGTCATCAAAGTTCTCCCAACAAATAAATAAATAAATAAATAAATAAATAAATAAGCAAGCAAGCCCAGGACCCGATGGTTTCAGCTCAGAATCCTACAAGATTTTCAAAGAACTAATATTAAAACTCCTCAAATTATTCCACATAATAGAAACAGAAGGAACATTGCCAAACTCTTTTTATGAGGCTATAATTACCCTGATACTCAAACCACATAAGGACATTACTAAAAAAGAGAATTACAGACCAGTCTCACTCATGATCCTTGATGGAAAAATACTAAATAAAATACTGGCAAATAGAATCCAAGAACACATCAGAACCATCAGCCACCTTGATCAAGTCAGCTTCATCCCAGAAATGCAAAGATGGTTCAACATAAGAAAATCTGTCAACATAATCCACCATGTAAACAAACTGAAAAATAAAAACCAATTGATCATCTCATTAGATGCTAAAAAAGTCTTTGACAAAATACAACATTCTTTATGATAAAGGTCTTGGAGAGAGCAGGAATGCAAGGAACATGCATAAACATAATGAAGGCAATATACAGCAAGACAACATCTAACATCAATCTAAATGGAGAGAAACTCACAGCGATTCCACTGAAATCAGGAACAAGACAAGGTTGTCCACTCTCTCAATATAGCTCTTGAGGTCCTAGCTAGAGCAATAAGACAACAGGAGATCAAGGGGATACAAATTGGAAAAGAAGAAGTCAAACTCTCACTGTTTGCTGATGATATGATAGTTACAAAAGTGACCCCAAAAATTTTACCAAGGAACTTCTACAACTCAAACATTTTCAGTAATGTAGCAGAATACAAGATTAACTCAAAAAAAAAAAAAGAAAAATCAGTAGCCCTCCTTAACACAGGTAACAAATGGGCTGAAAAAGAAATCAGAGAAACATCGCTATTCACAATAGCCACAAATAGCATGTTAAATCTCAGAGTAACTCTCACCAAACAAATGGAAGACCTGTATGACAAAAACTTTAGATTTTTGAAGAAAGAAATTGAAAAAATAAAAACCACCAGAAAATGGAAAGATCTCCCATACTCTTGAGTGGGTAGTATTAACATAGTAAAAATGGCAGTTATACCAAAAGCAATCTATAGATTCAATGCAATGCCCATCAAAATCTCATCTAAATTCTTCACAGACCCTAAGAGTACAGTAATCAATTTCATATGGAAAAGCAAAAGACCCAGGATAAACAAAACAATCCTGTACAATAAAAGAACTTCTGGAGGCATCACAATCTCTGACTTTAAACTCTACTACAGAGCTACAGTCCTGAAAACAGCCTGGTATTGGCATGAAAACAGACAGGAGGACCAATGGAACCTAATCGAAGACCCAGATCTTAATCCACACACCTACAAACACCTGATTTTAGATAAAGAAGCAAAAAATAAAAAATGGAAAATAAGAAAGCATATTTAGCAAGTGGTGCTGGCATAACTGGATATCAACATGCAGAAGAATGAAAATAGACCCATATCTATCACCATGCACAAAACTCAATGGATGAAAGACCTCAACAAAAAGCCAGCCAAACTGAACCTCATAGAAGAGAAATTGGGAAGTACAGTTGAATGCATTGGCTCAGGAGACCACTTGCTAAATATAACCCCAGTAA